TCTGGGTGCCCCAGTATTGGGTGCATACATGTTTATGATTGTTATGTCTTCTAGCTGGATAATTCCCTTTATCATTATATAATGGCCTTCTTTGTCTGTTTTAATGGTTTTTAGTTTAAAGTCTATTTTGTCCGATATAAGAATAGCTACTCCTGCTCATTTTTGGTTTCCATTTGCATGGTATATGTTTTTCTATCCCTTCACTTTTAGTCTATGTGTGTCTTTACAGGTGAGGTGGGTCTCTTGAAGACAGCATATACTTGGGTCTAGCTTTTTAATCTAGTCAGTTAGTCTGTGTCTTTTGAATGGGTAGTTTAGTCCATTCACATTTAGAGTAGCTATTGAGAAGTGTTGTTTAATTCCTGTCATTTAATTGCTACTTGTTTAGATGGTTTAAATATCTTTTGATCATTATTTCCCCTTTTATTTCTCCTCTTCAATGTGAGTCGGGAATTTAAGGTTGAATGATTTAGCTTCTTTGTTTTTCTTGCTGGCATTTTTGTTTTAACTGTGGGTTTTGCTCTTTCTTGTATATTCATGATGGTGGTCACCATTATTCAGATTCCAGATGAATGACTCCCTTGAGAATTTCTTGCAGGGCTGGTCCTGTGGTAGTGAACTCCCACAACTTTTGTTTGTCTGGGAAATACACTATTTCTCCCTCATTTCTGAAGGAGAGCCTTGCTGGGTAAAGAATTCTTGGCTGGCAGTTTTTTTCTTTTAGCATTTTGAATATATCATTCCACTTTCTTCTGGCCTGTAGGGTTTCAGCTGAGAAGTCTGCTGTTAGTTTGATGGGGGTTCCCCTGTAAGTGACCTGACACTTTTCTCTTGATGCTTATAGAATTCTTTGTCTTTGAGCTTCGTGAATTTAACTATAATATGTCTTGGGGAGGATCTTTTTGGATTGAATCAGTTTGGGGACCTTTGAGCTTCCTGGATCTGAAGGTATGTATCCCACCCCACACCTGGGAACTTTTCTGTTACTATTTCCTTGAGTAGGTTTTCGACACCTTTTCTTTTCTCCTGCCCTTCAGGAATACCCACAATTCAGATGTTAGAGTGCCTGAGGTTGTCTGCTATCTCTCTTAGATTTCTCTCATTATTTTTAATTCTTCTTTCCTTTTTTTGTCAGCCTGAGTTATTTCAAAAAAGATCATCTTCGAGCTCTGAAATTCTTTCTTCTGCTTCTCTTCCCTGCTGCTCAAGCTCTCAGTTGCATTTTTTATTTCATTGAGTCTTTCATTTCTAATAGCTCTGCTACACTCTTCTTCTTTTTTTTTTTTTTGTCCTTTTTGAGACCGGCCACACCGCGCTCAGCCAGTGAGTGCACTGGCCGTCCCTATATAGGATCCGAACCCACGGCAGGAGCGCCGCTGCACTCCCAGCGCTGCACTCTCCTGAGTGCGCCACGGGCTCGGCCCTCTGCTACTCTCTTTTTCATGGTATTAATCTCTTTGTAGATTTCTTCCTTCATATTCTGGATGTTTTTTCTCATTTCATTGTGTTCTCTAACTGAAGTCTTCCTTTATTTCTTCAAGTTTTCTTAAGATCATTGCTCAAAATTCCTTTTCAGACATTTCAAGGATTCCCTGTTCCATGGAGTTTAACTTTGGAGCATTACTGTATCCTTTCAGTGGTGTCATTTCTTCTTGATTGTTTGTAGCTCTAGTATTTTTTCACTGAAGCTTGGTCATTTGGTAGGGGTTTGCTTCTTCTATTACACTGAGATTGGCTGTGGAGTGGCCCTGGTTGCTACTGTAGGGGGTGAATTGTCTTTGCTTGACAGTAGGTGTGGTGGTTATGCTAAACCACCTTGGTTCCCATTTGAGACTCTGTGGTTGTAGAATGAGCCCCTAGTGCCGTGGAGTTCTGCTGGGCCAAACTTGGTGGGTTGGATCCGTAGGCTGGTGCTCCCCCCTGGGTCTGAGGCTGGGAGAGGACCTGTGTCCAGCCACACAGTTCTGCTGGCTGGTGATGCTGCCGGCCACCGACGGCAGGCTCACCTGCACAGTGCCAGTTCAGGGCTCAGGAGCGGACCTGGCGCTCCCTCCTGCCTGTGTCATAATCAAAGTTTTAAGGAAGATTCTAGTGGAAGGTAGAAAATGGATCAGGAGATAAAGGATATTGGAAATTGGAAAGCCAATTAAGAGACTAATTCAATACTCCAAGTAAGCAGCAATGGAAGTATGAATTAGGTTAGTGTAGGCAAAGCAACAAATAGAGAAAAATATATTGCAGAAACAGACCTGACAACTGTTATCAGTAGAATAAGGTAACAAGATGCAAAGGTAACACCAAGTTTTCTAGGTAAATCAATACTGTAAGTAACCACTAAATTAGAGGATGACACTGTTGTGCCAGGAAATAAGGGTGGAACAATAGTAACAGATGAAAAAGCAGCTGGAGGAATGAAAAATCTGGTTTCAGGCATACATTCCTACGGAATGAAAGAATCACTACTGGAATCATGTTGAAATTATTGTCAGGGTCAGTTAAAATCACAGTCAAGGAAGCTGTGATCAGAATCCAAAGCTAAGTTCAAATCAAGACTCAAAAATCTAGGCTATGAGATCTCAGTTCTGGAGTACTCTAATAAAAGTCCAGATTATTCCAGAGTCACAAATCTATTGGTTTTGTGCTACCAAAACCTAAAGGCCTGTGAACAAAACATCACCATGCTTTAAAGATCTAGAGCTGCACTGTCTAATATGGACATATCCCTTGAATGACCTTCCACCAGAGGTCCTAGAGAGCACAGAATCTTAAATATATTTGGTGGATGTGATGGAATTTGACCAAAGAGCACGCTCTAAAAGAGAACAACTGAGCATGTGCAAAACTAAGTTACATAACTGGGAACCACCCCCTTCATTAGATATCATAAATATCTATTAGACAGTGAAACTATAAAAGTTGAATCCCAGCAGAAGGCGGATTGTTGCACACGTTGCTGGTGAAGTGTGTATGCTTTACTTTTGTGTTAAACTTACTTCTCTATTGGGCAGCTGCTCACTCTCTTGAGCCAGCCTATACTTTATATTAAACTCTAAGTGTGTATTTGTTACTTTTGTATTAAACTTGATGCAGGCCCTGCTCAGTCTCTGGAACTAGGCCACACTTTCTCTGTGAAGTCTGTGTTCCTTACTTTGCTACATTAAACCCTTCACTTTCTACTGTGACTCTGCTCTTGAATTCTTTCCTGTGGCAGAATCAAGAACCTGCCATAGGATGGGGGTGGGCTGAAGCTGGCTATCAGGCCTCCCTAGACCCCCTCCTCCAGTATCAAAAGTATACTTAGAAATTTATTACTGAAAGGCTCCAGTTTTTGCATACTAGAAAAATTAAATCTAGCCTGGTCTCTTTAAAGTAGATGTATATAATAATGCCAATTACTTTATTCTTCAAACTTCTAAACCTTTTATGAGGCATATGATTTTGTTTGAATGAGAGTTAAATAAATATACAGAATCTGCCTATATTTACCTTTATATGAGTACCTCTCAGTTAAATATTAGTTTTCTCTGGGCCATGTTTCTATTTTAATATCAATCATCTGAGGCAGCAGGATGAAAATGACCTGAACTCAATGGATCAAATGTTTCTCTAACTGAAAATACATTGCTGTTATATCAGTGTGAAAGATTAAAAAACAGATAATTTTAAACCTAACAATATTCTCAAGATAATGTTTCCCATCGATATATTTTCAGTTCCTGATATCCTTCACTTCCCCATATCCTGCTCCCATTTAAAAAAAAAAAAAAAAGTCTATCTTATTTAGGCTGTAGCAAACTTTGGACCAATACTCATTTTCCTGTACTGTACTCTTCATACTTCAATCCACTCCTGTTTTATACATCATTTCACTCAATTTTCCTTTTATAAAAAGGGAATTCATCTACTTGAATTATATTATAGAAGATTCAAATTAATAAACCACAAAAGAATCTGGAAAATTATAATTATCTGATTATATTTCACATACAAATGTTAACATATTTTATCAGATAAAGAGCTATGATACAGTCCTGCCATCTACCGTTCCAAGTGTGAAACTACACAACTCACAATGAAGAAAGTACAGCATATGCTCAGTAATAACAGAGAGCAGTTTACCATGAAACTTACACTACAGATGCTCATCGACTTACGATGGGATTATGTTCTGATAAGCCCATTGAAAGTCAAAAATATAATGTCAGAAATTCCTTTAATACACCAATAAACCCATTGTAAAGCCAAAAATCATTAAGCGGAACTATTCTAAGCCAGGACCATCTGTAATTTCAATTTTATTAACACAGTTAATTTACTAAACAGAAGTTTATAATCCACACAAGAGGTCAGTATCTTTCCTGGCTTTCAAAGAAAAAGTATTGAATACTTCGTCTGCAAGGTAAATGGATATATTTACATGCAGACATTTTAGCTCCTGCATTTTCCCAGCCTCATTTAGTTGTAGTTACTAACGTACTGTTTAATTCCAAGCAAACCCTTCACAGAATATAGAATATATTAGCAGCCTCAGCCTCCATCAGGAACAGGGTTTGAAAGAGTCTTGCTACCTTAAACCTAACTGTGATGAGCCCTGGGGAACGCGCTCTACCTTTCACAAGTCAGTAACTATACACACTTACCTTTGGATACTGGGCATTGGTTTGATAACTGCCCCATAATGGCCACCCCTACTGATTTCAAACTTTCCCAGTACCCTGTCCTAAATTAATCCTCATTTCCTTAAACCATCTTCCTGACTCATATTTTTAAGGCTCCAGCATGCTTTGTACACAACCTACCTAAGTTCTGAGAGAAGGCACGTTAGCTTCTTTTTAAGCATCAGTTTCTCTATTATACCATATTATTATTACCCTTGCTGTCCTATACCTAAAATACTTCAAACATTCTTTTCTGCTTTTAGAACTATTTCAAACTTTATTCCGAGAAACAAAGTGGATGCATTAGATTCAGATTTCCTTAAAAGGTTCTGGAAATTTTACCTTGAAACGCCAAATTCTTGGTGAGGCCTTTTGCCATTATTGCGTTCCCACCTTGAAGACTGCTCACTAGGTAGCAATCCTGAAGTTCCTGAGCTCCTCCTCAACTGTGGAGTTGGTAAACTATTCCTACTAATTAGTCCCTGTTGAATAATTTAACAATGGTTAAAATTGTCACCCTTTAATATGCTGTGTATGCAATATTAATGGCATATGAAAATATTAATACAAACTGTATTTTTAACATGTACAGGAGAAGAACATTTTATTCTGAAAATCTGTCTTTTTAGTCCAAATTTCACATTCTGTGCTGTTTGTTCTATTTATATTCCTCCTACTAAAAAATGATTTCTAAATTCTTTACAATTTAAACTAGATTTTTTTGTGTGTGCACATTTTACTCCTAGTTCATGAGAAAGAAACAGTTGACAATTTAAATGGTAAATATAAAAGATTTATCCTGAAAATCAACTTCATAGGACAGGCAAGATCAGGGAAGATCAGCCCTATATCCTAAATTTTTTATATTTTCAGTACAATGCTATCTAATGTACATAGTGATAACCTGGAGAAACTACAGGATTCTGAGTTACCTTTTGAATTCCCTTTAGCATTAATATTTTACTCTACTTTTTGAAAATATTCTCAATTAATCAAATGATCAAATAATGAGGCTATTCAATTTCTGACCTTTTTTGAATAGGTGTTTTACTGAGATTTATATGAAACTTTCTGCTTCTCATGAATTTCCCCTATTAGCAGACACTGCAAAAATCTCAGAGAGAAAAACATCTGGGTTAAATTCAAGTTTTCCCAAGGATGTTGATTTTATAAAGGCTCATGGTTAGTTAGACCTACAGTGAAAAAGTTCTTCATGTAATATAATGCTTGCTGACTATAATTTAGGCCCATATGATCTTGCTTAGTTCTCAATACATATATAAGAAACACATTAAATTAACTGTTACTACTCCTTTTTGCTTACTAATTGTTTTTTTCATAAATACTGTTGCTCTTTTCTAAAGTAACATCAGGCTTTTTATATGCTTTCCAAAAGCAGTGACAAATTTGATATGAAATTCTGATACCAAGTTTGAAGAACACAAAGGAAAGAAATAAGGGTTACTTCCTGGTTCGTATACGACTTACTTCTATCAGTAGATTCCTGCATCTAAAATAAGCCTGATTAACTACAATGCTCAGGAAATGAGGCATGTTAGGCATCCTGTTTAATTAATATTATGTTTTAAATGTTTCTAAAATGTACCAGTATACTTTTCTACACAGTAAACATAGTAACAAACATAATGCTGATATCGATACATTTTTAAGATTAGGATTTTTAAGAATTACTATTTTAAAAAATTACTACCTTGAGCATCAAATGTCAATGGAAAATGCAAAGGAAGAACAGTAAGTCGAGTGAAAACTAACTCAAGAATATTTTAGTTATTTTACTGATGATTTATTGCCATCCCTTTTGGATGCTGGTGATTAACCTCTGTCTTATAAGGTAGAGTGCTTTTAAAAAGTCATAAAAGTGCCATTGTTAACTGGGTTTTGACTAATGCAGGCACTACTGTATAAACTTTTTAAAACTAAAAGCATCACTTTACTTATGATACAGATTGTGATCAATAATTTTTAAATCCTTTTGCCCTAATTGGGCTTGCTTAATTTTCAACATTTCTAAACCCTAATGCACCAAAATTAAATTAAATTAAAAATAAAACCTAATGCTGACAACTGAAAAAATAAACTGATTATCAAAATCCCCCCAAAAACTATATTTACCTTTTTCTATGTTCTATATACACTAGTACAGTAAACAAAAATAACTGATTTGAATTTCATGTCTCTTGCTTAGTTTCCTTATCTGTAATAAAGTAGTTGAACTAGGATAAACCCTAAAATGTTTCTAAAATTTTATTTTAGCTATTGGTGAAGATACTGATAACAGTCAAATAAAACAAGTAAAAGCACTCTGAACAAGTATAATGTATACCTTCTTAGGACAGTATTTATTATTTTCTAAAGAAAATGCTATTTTGTAATACTGATATTTAAAGAGAAATAAATCCCACATCTAATGATGCAAGAAAAATCAATGCCTGTTGAGCTATAGCAATCTCCAGTGGGTAAAAGAGGAGAAAATGTGAAAATCATTTAAAAATAATTCTATGTAATTCATAAAATGAATATTATAATGATCATTTTCTTCACGGTTCAATAAGAACAATTCCTGGATTCTCATCAATAAAATAGGTTAATAACATGATCTGACTACTAGCTTGTTGTACAGACAAGCTTGGAACTAAATTTGCTTGTTCTCCACTTCTTAACAATAACAATAATAACAATGATAATAAATAGTTGTTCCCATTCAAGTTATAATTGCTAATTACAGCAATGTTATTTAAAATAAAAACCGAATACTCATCTATAATTATTTGAGCCTCTAAAGTCCAAACAATTTGAAATAATGTAAAAGATGCTGGTCCTTGAAAAGAAAATTGGATTTTATATAAGATTTAAAGGAGCAGTTTTAATTTAAAAATATCATTAAATGTGATAAATAGAACTGGCTGATTACTGTATTTTGACCTTGTGAAGTTTTCGATCTCCTTTCTCGGTTGAGTCCTCTATTTCAGAGCAGGGGTAAAATCCAGGAAATGGTGTAAGAGGATTAATCTTTGGCCTACAGGAACCTGAGAAAGCACCCATCAAGCTACTGATACTCCGTAGGGAAGAAATGACTTGAGGGGGAAGGCTTGGATCAGTCAGAAGATCTGACACCATATTGCGAGCCTCATTTAGCACTGAAAGATCAACTCCATTTCCACCTCCAGAATTCTAGAAAAGAAAAAACGTAAAATTATGTATTTGTTACAGAGAAAACTTAATATTTAAGAAAAACTTAGCTCTACCTTAAATCAAGGACTATATAATAGTATCTAAGTAATTTAATCCTATTAAATGAGAAAACTGCTGTCATTTGAATTGGTGTCCCCCTATTGGTAATTGTGTCATTTCTCTCTGGCTGTTTTCAAGATTTTTTTTTTGGCCTTTAGTTTTTCAATAGTTTAATTTGGCATGTCTTAGAGTAGATTTCTGGGCAGTTGATCCTATCTGAGGTTCACTGAGCTGCTTGAATCTGTAGGATTATGCCTTTTGCTAAATTTGGGAAATTTTCAGCCATTTTTTCTTCAGATACTAGAGAGTAGTGAGCAAAAGAGTGGCATGATCTGACTTATGTCCCACCCTCCTTCTCTTTCTCAGACATCAATGATACAAATATGGGATCTTTTATTACTGTCCTGCAGGTTCCCAAGGCTCAATTCATTTTGTTTCTATTTTCTCTATGTTGTCCAAATTGAATAAATCCTACTGATCCCCAAGCTTACAGATTCTATGCTCTGTCACCTTTACTCTACTATTTAGCCCATCCAGGAAGTTTTAAATGTGTTTCTCAATTTTATAATTTCCACTTGTTTCTTTTTTCTAACTTCTATTTCTTTGCTGGGATTTTCTAATTTTTTTTTTCATTTGTTTCAAGAGACTTTATAATTGCTTGTTAGACCATTTTTTATGATGGCTGCTTTTGAAATGCTTGCCAGATTATTTCAAGTCTGATTCACCTTGGTGTTGGCACTGACTGTCTTTTCTCATTCAAGTTATGATTTTCCTGGTTCTTGGTATAATGGATGAATTTTTATTTTATCCTCAGTATTATAGCTATAACATTAGAAGAGTCTGGGTCCTGTTTAAATCTCTTTATATTAGAAGGCAGTCTCCCAGTTTAAGTTTAGCATGCAGGTCCTAGACTAATTTTGTGGGCTGTGGTTCTAATAACAATTTAATTTTCAGAGCATTCACAGTGGTATTTTTGTCTGCTTGATTTTTTGCCAGTGCCACTTGGGGCTCCTACTGATGGTACTTTGGCAGGGAGTTGGAGGGAGCTTCATCAGATTGGGTCACCTGGTGCCTCTGGGAAAGGGAAAGGAGTCTCCACACCACAGGTACAAAGATCACGTTTCTGGGCTAGGCACCTGTAGTGGTATCCCCCTTGCTGGACACACTGGCCACCCAGTATCCTTCAGTGCGGAAGGGGAGTCTCATGCAAAAGAGGGAAGGAGAATACTTCCTCTGGCCACTTATTATCAGTGAGGTGCCTAATCAATTCCCCCTTGCCTGAGCTACCAGACTTACTTGGTGTTCTCGGCAGGACTCTTGTTCAATCTGGGGGAAGGAATGAGCCTACCTGCATCACCTTCTGTTGGTAGATTGGAAGTGGGAGTCTGAGCCACCATTTGCTATTTGACAGAGGAGTCATAAGACACCCTGTCATTATGTTTTTCCTCCATTACTTGGCACCCTAACCAGTCTGCCTTTCTCTTTCAATCTTTCAGAGTTCTCCTTTGGTTGCATCTTGCATTATTTCCAGAGTTAAGAGTTGTACTTAGCAAGAAGCAGGTAAAATAAAATCTGATAACACATGCAGAGCACATAAAATAAGGTTTAGTACATAGAAGCAAAGCGAAATAGACTATCATTATTAATAATATAGAAAGTGATAAGATAACAATATAGATAAAATGGTATCAAAGTTCAAAAGACATATAGATAACTTTAATTTAAATGGTTAACAGAAATTTTATGGAAGAAGTAGCATTTGAGCTGAGCCCTAAAAATCTGGTAGATTACAAAGATTAGGGGAAAATAATTCTTTACAATAAAACTAAACAAAAATGTATTGGGGGAGCTCATTCCAAAAGAATGAGAGAACATAAATAAAAGCACAGAAGTAGTATATGGGTTGCATATGGGAAACATGAAATTGTTAGAGTAAAGTACAAGCTACATAAAAGACAGCAGTGGAAAATAAAGTTGGAGAGATATTTGGGATCAAATTTTAAGAACACTGATTCCAAGCTAAGTAATGTAGACAATGGAGAATCACATAGATTTTGAGCAGGCTAAAAAGAAAAAATAAAGCAATGAAAGGAAAAAGAAAGTGATGGAAGGCAATGTACTTTTAGAGAGGATAGTTGGGGTATGCCTCACTAAGAGGGCAACATTTATATTAAGACCTGGGAAATAAGCATTCCAGGCAGAGAGACTAGGCAAGTGACCCAGAGTTAGAAAATTGTCTGCCTTGTTGAGGAATAACAAGGAGGCCCGTGAAGCTGGCACAGAGTAAATGACAAGGAAGAGAGGTGAGAGAGGTTAAAAGGCAATAAAGGAGGAAACCATATTTTGTAAGTTTTTTTTAAGTCCGTGACAAGGATGGTAACTTTTATTTGGGGTGAGACAAGGGAACAGTGAGCAAAAGAGTGGCATAATCTAATTCATGTCAGATCGAACCAAATATTCAAATTATTTGCTATAATTTTCAAAGTTGAACTTAAATTCCTATTTCCTATTGACTTATAATTGGCAAAATCCTGATTTTATACAGAAAGAAAAGAATTTTTTTCACATTTTAGATGATTATTAAAGAAGAGGAGGAGGGCGGGAGAACACAAAGGGGGATGAGGAAGAGGAGTAGAAAAAGGAGGAGGAGAAGGAGCAGTGGCAGTGGCCATATGTTGCCTACAAATGCTAAAATATTTACTCTCTGGCCCTTTATAGAAAAAAATTGCTGACTCCTGTCTCATACTACAATTTCAGAGATGCTTAGTATTTTTTATTATTGAAATTAATACATTATTAGCTCACATTTTTATGTAGTGCTATTATGTACCAGGCACATATTATTTTAATCAGCCCTCTGAGAGAATTGGTATTACTCTCAATTTATAAATGAGGAAATAGGTTCAGAGTGACTTAAGAGGCTTGCCTAATTTTCCCGCTATTTGTATCAGACCAATTCCTCTCGATTGAGAATTTTTTTCAGCTATTTGTATCAGACCAATTTTTCTAGAACAACTAGAAAAGCTGAAATAAAATACAAAAAAATGTGCATTTCCAGGCATCAGAGCACAACCAAGCAACACAGGCATTGAGAAGACAAGAACCCAGAGTTAACAGAAAAGATTAAAATGAACTCAACATTGTCTGCTACTTTTTTCTCTCAAGGAATTTGCTATTGATTCCTAACTGGCACAGGGTAGAAAGCATGAAAAGCAGAGCAGTTAAGCGTCTAGGAAATGGAGTAGCGTTCTCTTGAGTCTCTAGGGGTTAGGAAACCAAAACTGGAGTTCAGAGCAATGAAAGCAGAAAGAGCTCGAAAGGCCAAGCATTACCCCAGAAAGATTAGAACAAAGAAGAGAACTTAAATTCAGAGCTACTTTCCCCCGAAGGTATTTGCCAATTTATAAGCAGTGGCCAAGAGAGGGAGAAATCAAGTAGAAATCCTCAAAAAGATTTCTATTTCGAAAGTAAAATAGGGCCGGCCCGGTGGCGCACTGGATAGTGCGCCGCTTGGGAAGCGTGGCGGCGCTCCCGCCCGAGGGTTCAGATCCCACATACAGACCGGTTCCCGCTCACTGGCTGAGCGAGGCGCGGGAGCAACGCCGAGGGTTACAATCCCGTTGCCGGTCCCCGGTCCGGTACGGGGGCAACACTGAGGGTTGTGATCCGTTGCCGGACACGGAAAAAGACAAAAGGCAAAAAAAAAAAAAAAGAAAGTAAAATAAATCTTTCAGCAGTCTTACAATACTGAAACAAAAGAAAAAGAAAAAAGAGTTTCTAGAAAAATATGACTACCCCAAATTTGTAAGAAAAGACAGAAAACCTATTGAATAGTCCTAAAACTATTAAAGAAATTGAACCCATAATTTAAAACTTGTCCACAAAAAAAACTCCAAGGTAACATAGCTTCACCAGAGCATTCTTCCAAACATTAAAGGAAGAAATAACACCAATCTTCAATCTTACCCAAACTTTTATAGATGACAGAAAAAAGAGTAAACATTTTAATATTTTATTTTTGGTATCAAAAATAACTTTTGGTAACCTTAATACCAAACATTCAAAGAACATTACAAAAAATAAGAATTATAGGCCAACACTCTCTCATAAACATAGATTCAAAACTCCTAAACTAATGTTAACAAATAGAATCCAGTGACATATATTTTTTAAAAGAAATTTGATCAAATTCTCTTTATTCTGTAAATTCAGGGATGGTTTAGCACACATGCACACAAATTAAACAATGTAATTCACCACATTCATAAAATAAGTGGAAAAAATTTCAAGGATCACCTCAGATGCAGAAAAAGCATCTGATAAAATTCTACATGCATTCATGACTTAAAGAAGAAAAAAAAGTCCTTTAGTAAACTAGGATTAGAACAGCATTTCCATAGTCTTATAAAGGGTATCTACAGAATACATTAGTGGTACCATGTTGAACATTTTCTCCCTAAGTTTATGAACTAAACAAGGCTGCTCACTGGTACCGTTGCTATTCAGCACTGCATTGGAGTTCCTACACAGTACAATAACATAAGAAAAAAAAATGATTTAGAAGAGACACTACCAAGTATTGGCAAGGATGTGAAACTGGAATTTTCATATGCTATTGATGGCTGGGTAAAAATTAATACAATCTATTTGGAAAACTATCTGGCACTATCTACTAAAAGTGAACATATGCACACATACCCTAGCAATCCACTCCAAGATATATACCCAACGAAAGACATCAAGATTGTTACAGCAGCATTAGTTGCAATAGCCAAAGATCTTAAAATAAAACAAATACACATCTACTATAAAATTGGTAAATAAATTGTGGTATATTCATTCAATGGAATACTAAATAGAATGAAAATGAATGGATTAGTGCTACAAGCAATAATATTAACTAACCACACAGATAAAATTTTGAAAGATAGAAGCAAAACAGAAAACACATATGATTGATTCCATTTATATAAAATTCAAAGACAAGAAAAACTAAGTTATAATGGTAGAAATCAGAATTGAGATAATGCTTGAGGGAAGCTGATGACTAGAAGGGGAACAAAAGGGGGCTGGGGTACTGAATTCTTCATCTAAATGATGTCCACATGTGTGGACAGTTTGAGAAAATTCATGAAGTTGTACACTTACAGGTTGTGCACATTCATATATAAATGTTACAGTTCAATTTTTCAAAAGGTTATTACAAAGGGAAAGAGGGAGAGAGGAAAAGAGGAAAAAAGACAGAGGTGCCTAATATCATATACCAGTCTAGGTAGGTATATGCACTACAGGTGCATGCTTTTAGCCATTACTGCTTATTTATCTTTAGATTTTACCAGCAATTTAAATACTGTTTTAATTGGAAACTGAGGACCTTGGTGAAAATGAATGATGACAAAGCCCACTACGTAGGTCAAGAAACCACCCCCCTTTTAGGTCAGATATGGTCTCCTTGATTTCAACTGACTGCAACAGTTACATTGTTTTGCTCACCGAAGTCCAGAGAATATTTTATTCTTGTGGGCTATTGTGTCTATTCTATTTACAGTTTAAAAATTAAAAACAGCCATTCAAAGAAATATTCATTTTATAAAATATGATGTTTGGGAAAACGAGCTAAATAAATCTAATAAACAGGAGTAACATTTTGCAGCATAAATGATTTACTATTAATGTTTATCCATTATTGTGAAAAAACATCAGCATTCAAAACAGCACATGAAATAATAATACATTGTAAAATAGAATATACAAACACATCTATAATGGGAAAAGGTCTATAACAATATATATACGTGAAAAATTAACACAGTTTGATAGTTACTGTTTGATGTTTATTTTTTTTCTCCTTATACTTCTATTTTTGTTCATCTAATATGAACATATACAATTTAAGTGGTAAAAAGTTAATCTTAAAAAATATTTCTCATATTATTCCATTTATACTTTATATATATATATATATATATAAAGTATAAATATATATATATAAAGTTCAAAAATAAGCAAAATCAGTCACGAAGTCAGGATAGGGGTCATCTATAAAGTATAAATATATATATATATAAAGTTCAAAAATAAGCAAAATCAGTCACGAAGTCAGGATAGGGGTCATCTGGGGATATGGGTAATGATGGGAATAAGGCATTTGTGAGGCTTCTGGGATACTGGTAGTGTTCTATTTCTTCATATGGGTATGACTTACATGGGATGTTTAGCTGTTAAAACTCATTGAGCTGTACACTTGTCTGTATGTATGTTATAATTCAATAAAAAGTTTATCAAAAAATGAAAGCTAAATGCTTTTGCTTCCCTAAAAAAATATTTTGCCAATTACTTTGCTTTTGGTCTCATAAATAGCCTTCAATCTATTTTTTTCTCTGTAGATCAGTAATCCACATTAGAGAAGAAAAAAAGTCTCATCCTTAATATAGAAATGTTAGTTTTTTCTGAGCCCAGATTATATTATCAATATTCTTTTCTTTTCCTTGATAGTTCATGTTTTTTTTTTATTTTTAATTTTTTAATTTATCAATATATAATGTAGTTGATTTTCGTGTCCCTTTACCAATTACTCCTTTTCCTCCTTCCTCTCTCTCCTATTATCAATATTCTAAATATAACTATTTATATAAGTTTGGTTTCTTGTCATTTTCTTTTTCCTTTACAATTAAAATGTGTTTTTTAAAAACATCTACCTCAATGAAGGTTCTGGTTAATTTGGTTAAGTTAGAGAAAGTCTTATGGCACAGAAATCTTGTGAATGTTACTTTAATTTAAATATCACAAGTTTAATTACAAATGTTAGTTCTTAGTGATATTACTTATATTTACCTGATAATGAGGTTTATACCATTGCTTTAAGTCCCAATCCCAAAGAATCATCTGGAAAAAAAAAATTCACTTGATTACAAACCATAATTAAACAAACATATATAGTCGAGATGCAGAATCTTTAAATACAGATACCTAAAATAGCTTAAAACTTGAGAGAAGAATTGGGAAGGTGAGAATAAAAATTGTCTCTGAACAGAATATATCACAATACAACCTGTACTTGAGAAATCAAAAGAATAAGAAATTATCAGAATAAAGTCACTAAGATAAGCTATATTTAAATCTTAAAATATTTATTACCACAAATAAGAAAATATAAATCCAAAATCACATCCAGTCACTAAAGATTCAAGAAAAATCATGCATCATTAGATATTTTCCCACTTCTCACCCTCTCCAAAGGCTTATCATTCATCATCTTAAAACCCATGTCAATGGGTGGTGCTGTTTCCTTACCAACAAGACTACTGTCAAAAACACTATTAGGGCTGAGCCCGTGGTGCACTCTGGAGAGTGTGGCGCTGGGAGCGCAGCAGCGCTCCCGCTGCGGGTTCGGATCCTATATAGGGATGACCGGTGCGCTCACAGCGCTCACTGGCTGAGCGCGGTGCAGCTGGTCTCAAAAAGGACAAAACAAACAAACAAACAAACAAAAAAACACTATTAAAAAGTTTGCTGTCTTTGGGGTTAGATTGACAAAAAAGGAATGGATCTATAAAAATCAACACATATTCCTTTTAATATGCAGATAATTAACGACTGTTTTCCTGTTTGTCTTCCAGGCTGTCAATGTAACTTCTTTGTCCCAGACTAGTTTTTTCCTGCCCTTCTTCCTAGCAGGCTTTTTAATGGCTTCTCTATCCAATATGGTACTCACTACGCTCAAAGAGATAAAATTAACTTTAACAAGCTATAACTGCCACCTATCATTATTCCTAAATTTCTTTGAAGTTTACTGAGTTAATGAATAGGAATTCTCCTTTTGCTTAAGTAATTGATTATAAATGCTATTTTCTGCATAGCACTGAACACTTGTCGTGAATATAGGCCTAATTTGTAATATTATCATATAATTTCTATATATTGAATGATTTTTGTATTGTATCTCATCCTTGGTTTTAAGTCTTTGGTTGCAAAAGGTCTTTAAGTATTACCTATTCTATCATAGGTCTGATATTTCTTTTTTAACTTTTTAATTTATTATTAGCATATTCATTCCGACAAATCGATCTCTATGGCATACTTTTTGTTTTACAGCCCTTTAAAATGAAAAAATAAAAAACACCAAACATTCTTAGCTCTAGGGTCACACAGAAAACAGGCTGCTGGCAGGATTTGGTTAGTGGACTATAGTTTGCTGACCCCTATTTTAGATAATACACCCACCTTTAATCACTCAAAACATTGTCAATGCCATTATCACCATCTTCTTGTCAACATCCTTGCAGAAGGTAATCTCTTTCCTACTGGTGAAGATACATCTATTCCTTCGCAAAGAAAATCCAGACAAACTACAATCACTTAGAAAATTCATGAACCAGTCCTACTTTCCGGAGTGTTTCCCCTATGTTTTCCTTTAGTGATTTTATGGTTTGGCGTCTTATAGCTGTCTTTAATCCATTCTGAGTTGATTTTGGTATATGGCGAGAGGTACCAGTCCAGTTTCATCCTTCTGTAAATGGATGTCCAATTTTCCCAGCATCATTTATTGAAGAGGACCCCAAAAGCACAAGCAACAATAGAAAAAATAAACAAATGGGATTATATCAAACTAAAAAGCTTCTGCACAGCAAAGGAAACAATCAACACAGTGGAAAGACAACCTATGGAACGGGAGAAAATATTTGCAAACTATACATCTGACAAGGGATTAATATCCAGAATATACAAAGAACTCAAACAACTATACAGTGAAAAAGCAAATAATCCAATTTAAAAATGGGCAAAGGAGGGCCGGCCCGGTGGCGCACTGGATGAGTGCGCCGCTTGGGAAGCGCGGCGGTGCTCCCGCCCAAGGGTTCGGATCCCACATACAGACCGGTTCCCGCTCACTGGCTGAGCGAGGCGCGGGAGCAACGCCGAGGGTTGCGATCCCGTTGCCAGTCCCCGGTCCGGTATGGGGGCAACACTGAGGGTTGCGATCCATTGCCAGACACGGAAAAAGACAAAAGACAAAAAAAAAAAAAAGGGCAAAGGAGATGAATGGGCAAAGGGAGGGAGGGAGGGAGGGATAAAGAGAGGAAGGGAGGAGGAAAGAAAGAAAAGACCACAACAATTTGTTGAAGTTTCAGAAGGAAAGAACAAACTTAAGTATACTAGAGATGGGGGGAGGGATGGAGGGGGTCTGGGGAGTGACAGGCCAGGTAGAGGGCATAAAGACAAATCAGGATTTGTAAGAGTCAATATGCTAATAATAATAAAAATTTTAAAAATAAACAATTGTGAATTACATATAGAAAAACTACTGTTTTTGTATATCAATATTACATTAGTTTACTGAGCTATTTTTTTATATTAGATTTTCTCCACCAATTATTTGTGGCTCCAGATATATAATCATATTATTTGCAAATTAAGTCTTAAAAAAAAGAAAGAAAGAAAATTCATGAACCAGTGCCCACAAAATGGCCATGGTACATAGTACATGCAAAGTATATCACATATATCAGTAGACTCATTAAGTTTATATAGTACTTTATATGGCCCTAAATGCGGTCCTGATATAATTATTTCAGGTTGTGATTTAATCAGTATGCAATCTATAATCTAGAGACACTAATTAATGCAGCTTAGGATGTTAATAACTTCCTAAGACTCTTGTTAAGACTAACATAACCTCAAATCCCAAAGTTTCTTTTATATTTGATATTGCTTTGATCCATTTTCTCCATGACATTCTTGTAAAATAGGATTTTTAGACCCAACTCTAATACTTTATTTCTGTCCTTCTTTTAGCTTGTCAAAGTTTGGGAGATTGAAGATGTCAACTAACCTATTCACTATTCCTCCCATCATCATGACATCTGTAAACCTAATGTTTTCTTAAATTCACTACTAAAAATGTAGAATAGACTATAGTGAAAACAGAGCCATGTGATGTGTCACTAAATATTACCTACAAGGTAGGCATCAATTCACTAACTTGCATTCTGAATTCTACACACTTGCCTCATTAAACTATCATCTGATCCATACTTCTATTTTTTTCCACAAGGATACCAAAAGAAAAATGCCTATACCTCATTTCCCTGATTGATTAGTCTAAGCAGAATCCTGATTTTTTGCTAACTCAAGCATACTTTCATTAGACTAGTGTCTTAACACAGAGTCACCTTCCTTTCCCCCAACTTCATTGACCTATATGATTACATAAATATGAACCTTTTCAAATATTTGCACTCTAATGCCAAGAGCCATATTTGTATTCATATCATGCATTCTCAACTAGGGTGCCATCATTCCCAAGCAGGTGAAAATCGGCTTGGGGGGCAAAAAAAAAATCTTAAAGATTAAAATTGTCTGTGGCCCCCCAAAGGCCATACTACATTAATGGATGCACTGTACATCTGATACTAAATTTTCATAGAAGAGGAGGGACAATTAGAGAAAAGATATCTTAAAATGCTCCTGTGGGTGGGGGGTATAATAAAAATAAGATTGAGAAACACCGATACAAAGTAGGCCTGCTGCTTGTTTATGAGAGCAACCCCATCTTAGCTTACATTCTGAGAAAGTTCCCTAACGCATTTAAACTATTCATTTTAAGGCTACTTCCTCAGAAGCTGCTGCTAACATGAGAGGTAATATACACTCTATTTTAACTACATTCTCAGAGATATCTAAAAACCTTACTATGTACAATTTTTTTTTTCTCTCTGGTTACTCTTTTTAGATCTCTCTACTGTAGCATTTGTATTGCAGACCATTTCCCTTAATAAATTCACTCCTCCTGGCCCTTAATCCTATTATCATGGTTTTCTCTCACTTCTACTTACTCAGTTGGCATTGAATCAACTCTTAAGCGGCAGCTCACCCTTATTTGCAGTCACTTTCTCTAGGATGAAAATTACATTACCAAAAAGCAGCAGGTCTTAGTTTGAAATCCCCTTCATATTAGGAATTGAAAACAGATACAGTGAAAGCCACAAAGAGCTGGCAGACTGCCTTCTGTGTAATTTGAACTACTAGAATATTAGTGATTTTGAGAAAACAAAATTTTCTGCATATGTGGTAGAAGATGAATGATCAAACAATTACCAAAATGTATTTTTTTTTTTACCATATGAAACCTTGGGACATCATAGAATAGAAAAGGCATACAACGTAAAAGAGCAATTGCTTTTACATTTGTACACAGCAGATGTTTTACTTTACCGCTGGATAAATGCACTGAAGGGCAGAGTCCAAACCAACTCTTGGTATATGTGCAATATACATGAGAACGGATAGCAGACAACTTTTTATAGGTTTATCATTGAAAAACATTTACTACAAAAGATGATTTTTTTCTATTTAATGATTATTTTGTAAACCATGATCTAGACAGGAAAATGTATGTTGGAATCAATCCTGAGACAGAATCAGTTATTTGTACAGTAAGGAAAAGCTTTGCTAAGTAATGAGAGTTGTACACTAACCGCGAATCTACACAGTTTTTATTCACAGAAAAGGGCTGGTAGTTAAAACACATGTGCTGGGCATGATTCAATATTAAAGAAATAGCATAAATGCACTCAATTTTTGGCCACAGAGTATGCATCTTTTCAGCGTGCTGTGGAAAAATAGAGCACATATAAAAATGTTAAAATGCAAATATAAAATGTAAAGAGCAAATAAGAGTATTTTTTTCAATAAAATGTTAAGAACTTCTATTTCCCAAGCTTTTAAGTATGATAATGATCAACAACTTAGCAACTGACACAGCCCTGAAAATAGTCTTCAGTGAGAAATCTCTTTTTAATTCCAGGGTCCAGTCTAATCTGAGTATTCAGAACCAACAGACAACAAACACTTACTGCCTTTCCTCATAAATTAAAATTTTGTTTGGAATTTCCCAATTTAAAAGAAATAGAGAAAAGAAAAGAATATGATTGGATATAGAATGAATTTACAATATGCAACCTATTTACTCATCATTGAGCTGAATAAAGATAACTTTAATATTAGAAACAACAAACACTGATATTAAAATATTATAATTTTTTAGGTTTTAAAGATTTTGAATTGTTTTTATACATTTACTTAAAATTGCTGGGTGGCTACCATGTATACTGAGTACATAGTGGGTGGTACATGTATATTAAAAGTTTTAAGAAATACTGTTCCAAGTATTCATTCCTCCTATATAATAACATGTAGCTCTTTTAAAATCTTACTTCCAAGTAGATAGTAAATGTTCTGTATATACATTATTCCCAAGTCAGCAAAATT